GTTGATATTGACCAAGGATGGAAGACCCTTCAAGACCAACCAATCCCACCCATGATGTTGGTGTTGACCAAGGATGGAAGACCCTCCAAGATCAACCAACCCCATCAATGACATTGACATTGACCAAGGTTGGAAGACCCTCCAAAATCAACCAATCTCACCCAAGACATTAACGTTGGTTGAAGGTGACCAAGGTTGGAAGAACCTCCAAGATCAACCAACCCCATCAATGATGTTGATATTTCCCAGGGTTGGAAGAACCTCAAGACCAACCCATAACATTGATATTGGCCAACGTTGAAGAACCCTCCAAGCTGAACCACGCCCACCCACGGCCCCGCCCCCAGGAGGCCCCGCCCTCCCCCCGGGGTACCTCGCAGACGCCGCAGCGCCGGCGCTTGGTGGCGTTCTCCTTGTCGTCCTCGCGCTCGTCCTTCTCGATCTGCTCCGAGAAGAAGGTGTCGAAGATGAGGTACACCAGCTTGGTGGTGGTGGCCTTGGTGGGACCCTTGTCCTTGTCGATGCGCGTCGGGTGCCGGATGGCCTGGCGCCGCACGGCCCGCCTGTGACACCGGGGACGGCGGTCAGGGTGGGGACAGCACCCAGGGACAGCCAGGGGACAGCCAGGGGACATCCACAGGACACCCAGGGGTGACAGGGGAACGCCCCAAATCTGCCCAGGGTGACCCCGGCCAGTTTGATCAGGCCCCTCATGCAGGGGGTAACAATTCCCATTTTCATTAGGATTTTCCCAGTTTCATTCGCATTTTCCTGATTACAGGATTTCTCCCAATTTCAGGATTTTTCCCAATTTTGGTGTTTTTCACCCCAAATCTCACCTCTTGCCCAGGGTGACCCCGGCCAGTTTGATCAGGTCCCTCATGCAGGGTGTGACAATTCCCATTTTCATTAGGATTTTCCCATTTTCATTAGGATTTTTCCGATTTCAAGGTTTTCCCACGTTTCCCGATTTTGGGATTTTTCCCGATTTCGGTGTTTTTCACCCCAAATCTCACCTCTTGCCCAGGGTGACCCCGGCCAGTTTGATCAGGTCCCTCATGCAGGGGGTGACAATTCCCAATTTTGGGTACATTTTCCCAATTTCAGGATTTTTCCTATTTTTCCCCATTTCAGGATTTTTCCTATTTTAGGATTTTTCCCGATTTCGGTGTTTCTCACCCCAAATCTCACCTCTTTCCCAGGGTGACCCCGGCCAGTTTGATCAGGTCCCTCATGCAGGGGTGACAAATCCCAATTTTGGGCAGATTTCCCTGATTTTGGGACCACAGAGCCCAAACCCTGCCCATTTTTGTTCGGATTTTCTCGATTTTGGGATTTTTCCCGATTTCGGTGTTTTTCAGCCCAAATCTCACCTCTTTCCCAGGGTGACCCCGGCCAGTTTGATCAGGTCCCTCATGCAGGGGGTGATGAGCACGGGCGGTTCGT